TCATTCATTTCTTCCTTTCTGTCTTTCTACTGGTATGTACATGGTTGCCCAACTCACTGACTCCAAGTATCTCACAAAACTAAATCCAATCCAAAACCAATAAATCCCTTACCCCTCTGGTGACAGTGATCAGACCAACGAATTAATGGACTTCATATTAGCTTGGCGTCCCCAGGCCCATTAGCAGAACCATGTCTTCAGGACCTTTCAAAAGAGTGAGAGCCAATCTTATTTTCACAATGTTCCACAGGAGTGAGCCACCATGAAGAAGGCCCTTCTTGGTCCTACTAGATGGATTTAGTGGGGTCCATAACATTCCCTACCTCCTGCTCTGATGGGTGAGGTAGATATAATTGGGAAAAGACAGTCCTTCAGTTAACGTGGTTCCAAGCCATTTATCAGTTTTCATGGTTCTAATAATAACTTACCACTGCCTGTATGACCTCCAATTTTAGTATCAGTCAAGAAAAACCTGACAGTAATTATGCCTCCCTTATGGAATGATAAATTGCATATATATCTATACCCATGCATATTACATTTTTAAAACACCCAATTCCAAGGCAAATTACCAGAAAGATTAAAGAACAGGGCAAAATAGTTTCAACCATTTAATATAAGGATTAGGTAATAGAGAGCATCAGACAATGCAGCTATAGGAAATCACAAAAAAGATCATAACGTATGCTGTGCTAAACTTCATGAGGAAAAATGATGCTATTGCTGATAGGCCCCCATCTAGTGGTCACCATTTGGTGATAGCACTATCTAGAGGACAGCTTGGAAGATCCTGATGACCAAGATGGGAGAAGATAGTTGCAACCAAGACTTGAGTCTGAAGGCAAGTCAGTCTTCCAGTAATAGAAAATAAAACAGTAGGTACTGGAATTGTTTGCGCACAAGCATGGAATCCTTACTATTATTTAAAATATTTGGATTCTACCTTTCATTGTGTGAAGAAAGTACAGGTGGAATTTTTGCAGAGGCAAAAATTATGTTCTTTGTCATATATCATTATCTCTTTGCAGTCTTTTTGTCAATAAAGTACTTTCTTTTTCTTTTTTTAAACTGGAGGAAACCACTTATTTTGACTAACATCTAATTTTAAATAGTGGTAACTGTTGAACATTTGGGAGCTTCTTTTATTTTCTTATTTTGAGGTTGCCAAACTGATTTCAGTTTTTGTTCTGATGCAGCACCAAGTCACATTTTGCACAAATCCCGTGAAACAAATACACCGTGTGAAAAATATTGACTGTCTTCCAGCAATAACACAGCTGCTGAAAGAGCTTAGTCATCCAGGCAGTGGATGGAATTCTGAAAGGAAATACTTGAATACAGGAACTTGACATTTGACTATATGGGACCATGAAGCAGAACTAAAGTGGGGAGAAGTGCTAGAGAGACTAAAGGGAGAATCCCAATTTTCTACAAAAGAAATCCCCTATTTGGGCAGGGCTAGAAAAGAATAATTCCAAAACAAGATTGTAAAATGTTTGGAAAGTTATCTTTTGAAGGAATAAAGACTTTAGCATTCTTTTATTAATTATTTCTATAATTGTATTTTCAGTAGTTCCTGTATTAATGGCTTCAATTATTTAGACTAAATTCAGAGGGCAGTTTGCTATTTTACTTTAACATGGAGCTTGCCATTTGTGACAGTTGACTGTCGTGATTGTACATATCTAGAATTACAGAGTCACCTTTTGTTGCTTATTTAATCTAGCACCCCAGATTTCTGTTATATTATCTCAAATATTGTTGATGCCAAGAACAAAAACAACAAAATCACACAACGGGCTTGCACATCTATGCTCTTCATTTATTATTTAAAGAAAGAAATGAAGGGACGAGAACTAGAAAGTTATAATCAAATTATGAAAGTTATAATCAAATTATGAAAGCCTCTCTAATCAAATCAAGAGTATCCAGCTAATGATGTGATAATCACCTATCTATTCTGCTTGGACCAGACCTCAGTTGTAAAACTAATCTGTTCTGGCATCCCAGTTTAAAAAAAGAATATTAATGGATACATATAGATACTGTACATACATATATGTTCTAGAGAGACTATTACCCTTTTATAATATCAGAGGATAAGATGCCAGAATGTTCAAATTACCAGCCAAACCATTTAGAAGCAAATATAGGAAGAGATTTCTGGCAACACATATACCGTATTTTCACAGCTAATCTAATTCCTTCTGGGAAGTGCCCATCCAGACACAGCTTAAACTTAAGTTTAAGCTGTGTCTGGATGGGCACTTCCCAGAAAGAATTAGATTTTCTGGGCAGGGGAATTGATCAGGCAATGTTTCAAATACCATCCAGATCTCTTTGTTGTGTATTGATTTGTAAGTAATTTTTCCTTGCATTTAGAAGTCACATTAATGCAAAAATATTGAAAATTAAAAAGGGCTCACACGCTTTTTACATGCCAATAAAAGTGTGCACAACAAAGCAAAATGGATGGAGTTTAATGTAGGAACTTGCATTTTAAATCTGAAATATACAGCCGGTGTTTATTGCATAATAGAAAAGTAACTGGAAAAGGGTGGTGCCCATAGAAAAAAGAAACACCTTCAAGTATTTTATAAATAGTTGGTCTGAACCACAAAGCCCTTCCACACCCGTTCCCAGCATTCTAGATGAGCGTCTCTCCATGTAATCCCAATAAAATTATAACTGTGAAATGGTAACAGATGTGTAAAAAAGAGTTCAGAGAAGTTCTTACTCAAATGCAGACTGGAAATAAACATTACGAATGATATGCTGTTTTTAGTGCATAAAAGTACCTAAGTGGAGCTGAGATTCTCAGTAAGTATAGAGGAATACGGAGATAATCTTGAAGAAGAAATTCAGCCACCATAAAGCTTAGCCCTGAAAGACAAGAGGGAGTGAAAATGAAACTCGCTCTTACATCATACTCTCTTTGATATAAGAGAGGAGAAACAAAATTATCAGGCTTTCAAAACTCTTACTACATCGTTCGACAATAAGAGTTCCAGTAGTTTTTGTGGTATCCAATTCCTGACCAAGCCTACCTCAAAGTGCTCACATCAATTTTCTCTATTCTTTATTTAGACAGGAATTAACCTTTGCCTTTGATCTTGGAGACAGCATCAGATTCTTGAGCACCTCACCATCTACAGAACAATTTGCTCAAGCACTGTTGCTGTCGGTTTGGACATCTTCCATGACAATAAAAACGGTGGAGCATTTGCTGCGTTAACCATAATTGCCCAGCAGACGATTTTTGGGTGACTAATTCCTTTTTTGGGGAAAAACCACCTTGCAGCATTACCACCTGGTTGCTGTGAACTATTAGTACAATATTTTGCCAATAAAGCCACTTAATGTGCTTCTACTTAGCAATATGAACTTAGACTTATATATCGCTTCACAGTGCTTTACAGCTCTCTCTAAGTGGCATATTGCCCCCAACAATCTGAGTCTTCATTTTACTGACCTTGGACTGGGTCTACCTTAAATGGACTCCTACTTGTGTCTTTAGACACTGGATACTGTTTAGGATTTTGTTGTTTTTGTTGTTTTACCAATAATCTCTCAGGAAGTAGACATTGCAGTAGTCTAAGTGGGTAGTGATGGGGATATTGTGACAAGGTATTCACATCCTAGTTAAGGCTGCAAATGGCACCTCTGATTCCTTCACAATCCTTTTCTGTCAGGAGGAATGAAACTCCATTCAAAGGAATAACTGGGACCATAGGAAAATCCTGATATACAAATCAATGTTCTGCCTTGCTGGGATTCAGCTGAGGCCTATTCTGTCGCACCCAGATCCTCATAGCTTCCAGGTACTGGGACAAGACCTTGATAGTATTTCCAGCACTAACCAAAATCATGATGTAAAACTGTTAACCAAATGCCATTTCCCTGTTACCACCTGCTTAGCTTACTGCAGTGTGCTGTACACATAGAGCTGTGTTCAAAGACTATTTGGAAGGCAAATTGCAGCGATCTAGGTGGTCAACAGCAGTTCTCAGTGGGATCATATTATATCTCAATTGCAGGCCCTACATTGGCTGTCTAATACATTTGTGCTGTTTAAACACTGGATAAACAAATGTCTATCATCAGAGGAAACTTTAAAAAATAAATGAAAAACAATTAAAATAATTAATTTATTAAAAAAGAACAAAGAAATAAAATCTCAAAGGGAGACTCAGTGGGTCTTTTTTTCTGTCATCAGTTTTCTATGTTTTCAAGCTCTTTATAACTTTACTCCAAGTCACTTTCAGGACCACATCTCTCCATTGGAGTTGGCTGTATAGATTCAAACGTATTAACTAGAAGAAACAGTAATTCCTGATTTTCAGAAGATAGAGCAGGTTAAAGCCTGGAAACCAGGCCTTTAGAATCACCCTCCTATTAGAGATTCAATAGACTCTGACATGATACACATTCTGGAAAAAGTTAAAAATAGGAATCTTCCAATGAGCATTTGAAATGTGGTATCATCTAATTGTATTAATGAGTTCTTTTACTTATTGTGATTTCTCTACTACAAATTTTATGTCAAATCTTCATGGCAAACTGCTGAGAGTCTGAGTAGATTGCAGCATGATATACATTCAATAAATAATTTTATGTAAATCATTATTAATAGTATGGAGTAATATTGGTCTTGCTTGAAAATATATATTGTTAACCTAAATCCAAGCACTATTGGTTTCATATAGATTGTCAGTGACAACACTAATTTTAAGCAAAGCACAGGTGTTCATAAAGATATGCCACCCATAAAAAAAATCTTGAAAGTAAGTGAAAGTGAGTGGGGTGGGATTTTTAGTTACACCAAGGAAGATGTAAATTATAAAACAATGCACAAAAGGAATTGTCACAGTGCTTTTTGTCATGGTATGAGGGGCAAGGAATGTAGAGTTACCAGTCAATCAGTATTTGGGGCAGCCCAAAATAATTGCTCTGATTTTGCCATAAAAATATTCAGCTCATTTAACATGTGGCTTTTGCAGGAGAAAATGCAAAAGTTAGTCTTGATGTGCACTTAGGATATCGTGATGATACAGTCAGTGAGTGGACAGAAATGGCACATGCAGTAGAGACTCGAAAGCTCAACTGTACATTTGGTGCTCCAAAAGTAAGTTCTTCATGCTTCTGTTCTGTTTTAATACACTTATCCTAGTAAAATGCAATCTTTTGTATTGTTTGCTTTCAAATGCACTGAATTAATCCTGCCAAGAATACAGCAATGTTGGAGACTGTCCTAAGCTTTCCAGCTTTAATTAAAATGTCTTGAGAAGTACTTTAAAGTATAAAGAAATACAAATATAAATTTATACAGAAATATAAATAAATTGTAAGGAAGTTTTTTTTCTGAAACTTTGTACTTTATTGTTAGCCTACCAGGACTAGTAAGTCTATATTACTAATGGTTTTGTTGATAACTGAGCATTGGAAAAGTAATAAAACTGTACTCTACCAGTGTTTTCACAATCACAACCAAGAATCATTTGTCATACTACAGATGTTCGTAAGTTGCCCCGTCCCTCGCATATAAAAGTATTTCAGTATATAGCATAGCTAATGGAAAGCATTAACATTACAAATTATTTCACACTTCCAAGTTTTGGCCAAAAAAACTTTATGTTATAATTTGGCTTTAGTAAGATGTAAGTTTCATTGTTCTTTTTATTTTATTTTTTGCTATGTTTAATTATACTTATTTAAACTTAAGGATATAAATATAGTCTTTAGCTACTTTGATAGCCAATTTTGCTGGGAGAACATAACTGTAAAGTTGGGGTTAGGGTTAGAGGAGAAAATGTTTGCCATTTCAGAAAAATGTTGGCCTTTTTAAGTGAATTTGTCCCATTAATCTGAAAGTCACAGAAAGATAATCTACACAGTGGTTGATTTGTCCTTAGCTTGATGTGAAATCTGAACCTATCCCAAGAAAGCAGCTACTGTATAACTTCCCAAATACAATGTATATGTTTATACATTTAAAGGAACAACAGTTTTATGAGTGGATATGTTCAGTCTTTATAGTACTGTTTTCTTGTCTGGTTTTTCAATAGATTGTAGAGCATGAAGGGAAGTTTTACGATTGTGACTTTCTCCCATTCATGGAGATTGGAACTGTAGCTCACAAATACTATCTTCTCAACATTCGCCTTCCTGTGAATGAAAAAGCAGGTATTAATGTAGGAATTGGTGAAATAAAGGATATCCGTTTAGTGGTAAGTATTGTTAACATTTTTTTAATACTAATTTCCTTCTCCCGATAAGCATATACATAAGCTGCAAGCCTAACAGAGTCCAAACATCTGTATTCACATATTTGTGGAGATATTCTGAATATGGAATTAATTGTGCTTCCTATTTTATTCTTTAAAAAATTGTGGTTAGATTCCACTACGAAGAAACCAGATTAAAGATGTGGACATAGAATTCGTTTCAATAAGTTAGCGTGGAAACGGGCATAGGATGCTCCTTAACATTCAAAAGAAGCATTTGCAAACCCAATTTCCAGGGTGTTTTAAAATCTTAACTAATTTGATTAATAGGTTTGGTAGCTGGGGAAGTAGAATCAGAACAGAATTGGCATGTAATTATTGAGGATGTTTTATATTGATTACATAATCTTATGCAGCTGAGACACTGTCCTAATTATAAAGCAAACACAAACAAATAACTACTACTTAAAACACAAAATTAACTGCATAATCTTAGGGGTGGGAGAAAGAAGAAGAAAATAATATGATAATTCAGTGGTTAGAAATGTGGAATGTTGTCCCTATACAGTTTCCAGGTTCCCTGCAGACTTTCTCCCTTTGATGCCTCTTCGGCCATTATGCTTCTTTGCACCCATGAAATTAACTAATTTTTTCACTTTCTCTGCTGGTAATCACTTCCTTGATGCCTCTAGGAGCAAGCAGCCATTTACTAGTCTATCAGGACCTATCTGTCACCAGACTTTGAATTATATTTTGCAGACAGAGCAAGAGCAATGCTGCTATCTTTTCTTCATCTTCCAAGAAGCTAAATTAGGAGAATATGGGCTATGATAAAAGGAGCATTCTTAGATTGCATTTTTATTTTTATATTTTGCACAAAATTACAAAGAGTGACTAATCTCATTTAAATCCAGATAGCAATTCATGTGGCTCTTTCTTTGAAGACAGTTCAGAAGCTAGTGGAAAATACTTCTGAAACCAAATAACGTCAGTCCAAAAATAATTGCGTTGAAATTTATTTGTTATTAGTCAAATTTCAAACGTAGCAGGTTAAGGCCCTAATACTTAAAAGAGCCTCTAAGACCGTGTGGTGAACCTATGGCATGCATTCCGGAAGTGGCACGCAGAGCCATCTCTGCTGGCACACAAACCATCGTCTCAGAGCAGGTCCACTGTGCAGGCATGCACACCACCCGCCAGCTGATTGGGTAGTTGCCACGCGTGTGCAGGGGGATGGGGCACGTGCAGGAGACATGCGTGCATACACAGAAATGTGTGGTGCACATGGGGTTGCATGCACAGATGCATGGTGCGCATGTGGGGGGTCATGCATGCATGTGCAAGGGGCATGGACCCCCTGCGTGCATTGCCTTATGAGAGCTGGCGCATGTGTGCACTTTCGGCATGTGAGGACGGAAAGGTTAGCCATCACTGCTCTAAGAGGTGCCCTTCTTAACATCCTACCTCTGGCAATTTCAGCACCCTGTTTTTAGAAAACCTTTTGCCTTGAGGTCTGTTTGACATTCCAACATTATCAGCTTTTGGCACTAGATAAATGTTTGATTTTTTTGACTCTTCTGTGTCTTATGTTCCCCAAGTACAACTCTTCTCTGCTAGTGTGATTGCATAGTGTGTATTTTAAATAAGCGTGTTCATATTATTTGGCTTTGTTGTTTTATCCTGGTTTTTATAAAGTCTTCTGGATAAGTGGGAAGGCTATGGTAGCTTAAACCAATGAAGCCTTGCAAGCCTACGATCGGTGTTAGCAAGGTGAAGAAAAGTAGCACTGAAACTTATGTTCACTTTCAGGGTATCCATCAAAATGGAGGCTTCACAAAAGTCTGGTTTGCCATGAAAACATTCCTTACACCCAGCATTTTCATCATCATGGTTTGGTATTGGAGACGGATTATGCAAATGACACGGCCACCTGTGCTCCTGGAAAAGTAAGCAATGATCATGAAAATTCTGTCTGCTTTTTTGAAAGGGGAGACCCAAATCTTCTGTGGTTGTTGTTGGAATGGCAGTCATTGCTCCCCCTTGAGGAGCCCATGTTACTGGTTTATTTTACAGCTCTGTTAATCAAGATTGGCTAATCTAACATATAATAAGGTAGGTGGGGATAGTCTGGCGTTATCTAGATGTCTTGGACTATAACTGTCTTAAATTCTAATGTTAAAGATCTGGTGCTAGCAATCTTAAGAGATCTGGAAGACCCCTGTACTGAAGCATATTCTCTTTCTACTCACTTTCTAAATTTGCCAGCACACTATTGTATCTGCATCTTGTAGAACAACTAAAACAACTTTCTCCCAACCTAGTGACTGGTCCTTGTTTTCCCAATGTACTACAGTATATTTGAAAAATAACAAGAAATCTGTCTTACAGCACTGAAAATGTTATCATGTTGTAGATTCTCTATTTGTCATAACTATCTTTGATAACAAATTTACCAGCTGTGGACAGATGCACTGAGGCACTGATTTCTTTTTCAGGCAGACTTTACTAACTAAATTTAAAGTGAACTTTACATGTGAATTCAGAGAAATGTTTTAAAAACTGAGTCAACTTTGATACCATTGCTAGATAGATACAGACAAACATATAGAGTCAGGAAGAATATTGGGTGTGTCTGTCCCATCCCTGATATCTCTATATATTTGGTGGGGTGCAGCTTCCATCAGTCCAAAGTCTGTATCAGCTTTGTAGCATGTAGATGGAGCCAGGGAACATTTTAGGAGGCATTTGCCTAAATATTACATAAAGCTTACTGGAACAACTGATGAAAGTGGAAGAGTTTTTGAAAATGTTACTATTTGTTTCAGGATAATCTTTACCCTTGGAATTTCTATGACTTTCATAAACATTCCCGTAGAATGGTTTTCTATTGGTTTTGACTGGACTTGGATGCTGCTTTTTGGAGATATTCGTCAAGGGATCTTCTATGCTATGCTCTTGTCTTTTTGGATCATCTTCTGTGGAGAGCATATGATGGTAGGTGCTCTCACGTGAGCTTGTGAATATACTATTCTAGGATTCTCTTCCCCTGCCCATTGTCCATTTTTTATATAGTTTAGAGTTCATTTTCATTGTGAAAAGCAATTCCCCACTTTCTGGCACTCCCAGTATTCTCAGAAAATAAGCCATAAATTGGGGTGGGTGGGAATTATGAGAGCCATAGTCTATTACAGCTGGAAGTTATGAACATAGAAAGGGCTTTATTATCAAACTGAACATCAAATTAATAATTTATGAGTGGAATAAGATTTTATATAAAAGAGAGTGCTGGAAAATGAGACTCAACATCCTCTCATTTTTATACTGTTTGAATCTGCCTTAGCTGTAATTGGCTAAAGCTGACAGAAGAGCTTCTTCCTTGTATTTCCTTCTGGGAATCAACAGAAGGGTGTGCAGGGTTGTTGTGGATGGGGAGTTATTCCATAGTCTTATTTAGCATGACTAAAGCATATCAGTTTACATTTTATGATGAGACATATCCATGTCTTGACTGTTATCCTAATATAAAGTATGATTTTGGAATACAAATCCTTCGCTACAGTTCCCATTCTAATAATACCTGCGAAATTAATATATTTTACTTTTGTCTCATCTAATAATGATTTTATTATGTTATTTAATCTGTTTTAGGATCAGAATGAACGAAATCGTTTCGCAGCCTACTGGAAACAAGTTGGACCAATAGCTGTAGGCGCTTTCTGTTTGTTTGCCTTTGACATGTGCGAGAGGTAATTAGAATGCCTTCTTTTTCATAGCTTTTGTAACTTAGTTTCACTGTGGATATTGTTAATTTAGAAAAAGCTTGTACAGATAGTCCTTAACATATAATAGAATCTGCCCATTATAGTCATATATATTTATATTCTTTTATACAAAGAAAATGTTCGTAAAAAAGAAAATATATTTTCAGGCTTGTTGGTTAATACTAAGAGAGTAGTAACCAGCCTAAAAATCTTTTTCTTCCAATATGTAAATGTAAACATCACAGTAACCTTCTCTTCTGTTGTAACACTAATAAACTTTGAATAAGAGCAGAGAAATACAGGATTGGATCATATCTCACCACACCTTTTGTTACTGCAAGTTAAGAAAGAGGAAAAGGGTAGAGAATTATAGTTATTAGATTTTTCTGGTTCATTGTTTCTGATAGTATATAGTTCCTCCCCAGGTTGTTTCATACAAAGAAACACACACAAAAAAGGATTTTAATCAAGCTAATAATAAAACTATTCTTTTATTTTTATCTGCAGAGTGAAAAACATGGAAATTGACAGTTGAGCATTTCTGGTTATGTGTAGTGAAATATACTTTTTAAAGCAGGGTTGTCAAACTTGCATCATCACAGTAGCATCACGTGACATATCAGGACTTTTTTTTCCTCCTCGCTAAACCGGGTGGGGCCAGCACATGGCACATCTGGGCCGCGAGTTTGACACCCCTGTTTTAAAGCAATTAGAACATCATTCCTCCCTTCATAAAGCTCACAAAGTTACTTCAAACATTGTTCCTCTAGTCTTCCCAAATAGTTCATTATTTTTACACATGCTGTATGTATAATTTGATCTACTGGTTTTCTTTCCAGAGGAGTGCAATTAAAAAATCCATTCTATAGCATCTGGGCTACAGATGTTGGCACAGAGTTGGCTGTATCCTTTGCATTTTACTTCATTCAGAACCATTTGTTATCTTCTGTGTTCTGCCTCAAAGCCTCTGAAATTTGGGACGGTGACGCTAATAAGGGGTTTTTTTCATTTAGACTTCATGGAGAGTTTAAGCATCTTTCAAAATAGTTTCATGAATTTAAGATAATGCATACACATGAGGATGTTCTTCTTCAAAGTTTACTTTCGGTGGATGTCATTAGGGCAAGTATGTGTAACATTTATTCAAGACTGCATTACTTTTCCTTCCTTACCACCATGGCATAGGAATGACCTTGGGTTTATATTTGTCCATAGTCAGGCATACTTTTCGTTGAAGTCCAAAGCCTTTCCAGATTCAGACATTAGGAAATGGAAGCTGAATTTACCCAACACCAAATGATGCGGGCTAGACTCCAATGCTCCCCAAACTGTCTCCATGATCCTACAGAACACACAAATATTTAAAGACCAATATTTCACAGGTAAATGTCATGGTCATAGGCAATTCTATAGATCAGTGCTTCCACCTGCTGGTTTGGCATCAAGGTTGCTCTAAGTCATGAAATCCAGAAGGATGGAAGTGTATTTTAGCAAACATCAAGTGTGACAAATGCAACATTTCTTACTGTGCTTGTATTTAAGAGCAGAATATGATTTTTCAAACAAGATGCCAAATGCACGACCTACTGCTATTTCTGCTTTTACTGGTCCCCTTAACTTTACCACTTAAGATGGCATTTATTATTGTTGCCGGAATCTGCCTCTGCCTTTACTTCTTGTTCCTGTGTTTTATGGTGTTTCAAGTGTTCAGAAATATCAGCGGCAAACAATCCAGCCTACCATCAATGAGTAAAGCCCGCAGGCTTCATTATGAGGTAAGGAATCTGTAGGATGTTGGGTTAATTGTGTTTAAAAGCAAGGACAGTTTCTCTTGTTATTCCAGCAAGACCATTGTGAAGAACATAATCCAGTTCAAAGGTCAAATTACCCCTACTAACAAAACCTCGTAGGCTGGATTTACATTCGGAACCCTACAACAGTGATTACCGGTATATTAATGAAGGCTTTGGTAAACTGAAATTTTGCCCCTAAAGCCTTCCCTTGAGTTCTGCATATCTATCCCCCTAGGACTGTGTAAAAATAAAAAGTCCTTTTTCTATTTTCAGGGGTAGAGAGAGCTGGCTTTTCTCAAGGACCAGAGCAGGTAGCAGTGTCCCTTCTTATAGTCTGGCCCCTCCATAACAAATGGGTAACCAAACCAATCACTGTGAAATACGTTTTTTTTTACCACTACAGCTAAAAAGGATACTTAGGAATAATGGAGACTCTCCAGTAGGATGAGGTGTAAGTAATGATAAATACACCATTTCCCAAAGTGACACTTCTCAAATGGAAGAACCAAAGCCTTTCAGTTTTGCTAATGCTTCTTGCCAAAGTGCCATAGAGAGATAAGATAGGATTTGGATAAAGACTCCTGAAACCTTTCTTATTGTTAGCTAAAGGTAAAGGTAAAGGTAAAGGTTTCCCTTGTCCAACTCTAGGGAGAAAGTTCTCGTCTCCATTTCTTAGTTGAGGGAGCCAGTATTGCTGAAGACATTTCTGTAGTCATGTGGCCAGTATGGATATATGCCGAGATGCACAAAATGCTGTTACCTTCCCACTTAAGTGGTACCTATTTATCTACTTGCATTTGCATGCTTTCAAACTGCTAAGGGGGCAAGAGCTGGGGCAAGTAACAGGCACTAACCCTATTGCCCAGTGCTCGGGTTTTGAACTGGGGCGGTCAACTATGCAGCCAACACTTAACCACTGAGCCATCATGCCCCATAGTCATAAGATACACCTGCTGGGATACCATTTCCCATTCTGTCCATTGTAGTGCAGCTGGAACTCTTGTGTAGATTGAACTTGTTTCCTAGAGGAAGTACTTCAGACTTGTAGCCAATAAGCAACTGGAAAGCCCTTATACACAGGCAAGAGTGCAAATTAAGCAGCTTTTCAGGAGCTTTAAAAAGGTGCCTTTTTAAAGCTCTTGCATAGAGGATACATTTATCTTTGGTATTAACCCCCAGTCCGTATAGCAGCAAGTGTTTTGTGTGGAAAAAAGTAAAAAAGACCAAGCTGGATGGATCTCTTTTTTCAAATCACCCAGCAGAGTGGGGGAAATCATCCTGTTGCCCTCTATGCAAAAAAAAAAAAAGGGGGGGGGAACCTGCTATTAGAAAGGGTTAATTTATCTGAATAGTTTCTTAGATGAGAGAGCTTATTTCCTTTCCGTTTCAAGTCCCCTGTTTGTCCAAGCACACGCTGGCTTTGATAAAGGGCAATGGAATGTTACTTTTGTCTTACTTTTCACCTCACCTACATTCAGGAACACAAGACACTATAGGTGGAGCTCTCTCACCTCCCTATTCTTAGTCCATCATCTTGATCACTACACTACATTTGCTGTCGATGGCTGTTGACAGCTGTTATTGACAATTGCTGTTGGTAACAGTCACTTAAATCTAGTATTTGTTGTCTAGTATTTATTTCAAGACCTGCACTTGTATGTCTATAAGTGCATAGCACAACCAATGAAGCGAATAGTAGCAGGTGGGATTTTTTTTCTCCTTACTCTGTCAGTTTCGAGTCCTGCCACCATATGACGAAATGAGTTCCTGTCACTTGCCTCAGCTCCTGCCACCCAAGCCATTTGAAAGCATGTAAATGCAAGTAGACAAATAGGTACCACTTTGATGGGGAAGTAACAGCATTCAGTGTTTTACCATACACTTTGCACTGCAGCATGATGTGATGCAGACCACATGACTGCAGAAATTTCTCCAGACAGCGCTGGACCAATGGCTTAAAGAAATGGAGATGAGAACCACCGCTAAAGTGGAGTAAAATCCGCAGAGATGTCTCCTCCTACTATATAGGATTTCTTCTTCAGAATCTTCAATTTAGAATATTTCAATATTTTGTTGTTGTTTCTCTCTCCCCGATTAAACTTGCTTCTCTTTTTCACAGGGACTGATTTTTCGGTTCAAGTTTTTGATGCTGATCACATTAGCTTGTGCTGCCATGACAGTAATATTTTTCATTTTCAATCAGGTGAGAAATGTAAAATGACTACGGAAAAGTATTGCTGTCTAGTAGCAATGTGTTCTGTTTTTTATATCCTGAAGCAATGTATCAACAAGGGATCTTTTCATATCTTCATTTCATAACTCTGGGAAAAGAGGAAGGGTCATAGATTCATTTCCCTGATTTAACAGCTTTTCTTGTTGTTGGCTCAATGCAGATAAGGGAGAACATCGCATTAAAGCCATGCAGTGGAGTGAGGGCAGAAATAGATGTTTTGGGGGATGGGAAAGTCTGAAAATGAAAATCATTGACTTTGTTTGTGCTAAGTCTATGCTTATGTCTTCACTGCTGGATTATATATCAATTTTTCATCCTGTTTAGGTGACTGAAGGTCACTGGAAATGGGGAGACTTTACATTTCATTGGAACAGTGCCTTTTTCACAGGGATTTATGGAATGTGGAACCTATATGTCTTTGCCCTGATGTTCCTGTATGCACCTTCCCATAAAAATTACGGTGAAGATCAGTCAAATGGTGAGATGCACTTTCCTGCAGTTGTGATTCATTTGCACTGTAGTACAACTAATTAGTCAGTTTAGGACTTCAGCATGCTTCAAAGATCCCTAGCATTATTATATGCATAGTTCTATTGATTGTGGGTTTTAACTGCTAATAAATACCCCAAGTTAGTGTGGTTGATTTGATTTGATTGATATGGCCACTCATTTGTGTGGTCTGAGCAGCAAACAATACAACAATAAAGATCTTGTACCAGATCCTGAATTAATTAAAAGATTATTCTCAGATTCTTTATATTCTGAGGTTTATACACACTTGTGAAATGGAAGTCCTACTGCACAATGTTTATTTTTAATAACAAATGTCCTCGCACAAGGTTTGTTTTTAATAAAAATAAGTGTTGTGCAATATGACTTCCATTTGTGTGCTTCCTTTCCTTCCCACCCCAAATACACAGCCCTGTTTGTGGATAAAAAAGAAGTGTTACTGAACAAATACATAGATGCATGTAGAATTGCACAGTGGAGAAACAGCCCATTTCTCCATATTATTAGTGGAAATCATGTCCATTCATGAAACTTCTCTATTGGAGTCTGCTTATTTCTTTCTAAATGCTGGGGTAATTTTGCAATAAAACTGTCATCCCAGTTATGCATTCATCTGAATTGCAATTTTATGTTTTCAGGCGATTTGGGAGTTAATACTGGAGAGGAACTTCAACTCACTACTACCATCACTCATGTGGATGGACCAACCCAGGTTTACAAATTGGCTCGCAAGGAGGCCCAGGAATAATCACTTCAGCACAATTTTACTTGTGCTCAAATACAAATCACATAGCATGATGGTAGTATTTTCTTGCAAGGATTTGTTTGGAATCAACTGAAGGGTGTTTTTGCAGAAAACAATGACTACCTGGCAAAAACTTTTGGGATTCTTATTATCCATGTATCTTTCTTGGGGAGAATCTTTTGTCAGGTTTGGATTCTTTTAATTCTTCATCTTGAGCAATCTTCCCCAATCTCAAAATACGTTTGGTGTACAATTCCCACAACCAGCTAGACCAGCTAGTTTGGGAAAGACTGGTCTTGAGTATTAGCACCAGGAATGAGGTTGGAGGAGTGGTTACTCCATAAGTATTTCCTCCTTACCTTTAGGTGTATTTCACTCCAGCTGATGCTGCTATGGATGTTCTTGGGAAACTAATTGGAATATATTATGTGCTTCCTAAGTCAAGGTTTTATACAATAGTCCCAGTGCATATGTCTGGAACCAGTTTAGTTATTTGCATCATATGTAGCCAGTTCAATATTTACATACTTTAATGAATGTCTTCGTGACCTTTTTTTTCATAGTCTAGTGTAACACTGCCTTTTCTAAAGTTTGGTACAAAAAGAGGACATTTTGAAACCTCTGCTGATGTATGAATATGTGTCCTGAACTCTTAACAAGTCTTTTTTGTTGTAGATACCTTTTTATATACTTTAAGAATTCTGGTTTACTTATATATAATTCCATAGAACTGAATGGGGTGTGCAAGCGCGTATGTATGTGTTTTAAAATCTTATTTTCTTTCTTTTTTAAAAATATTCTAAGTATCCCTGGGGACCACTGTAGTTCCATCTTTTTGTACTACAAATAAAGTATTAAAATAAGGTCTTTTTTGTGGGGTGAAATTTATATAAAAAAAGGATGCTGCTGCTGTATTTTAATCTCTCATCATCAGTGTGGGTCTTTAGAAATAGTGAACATAATTGGGATAATGCTGACATCTATTGGAGACCAAATGCTCTCTCATGAACCACAATTACCCCAACTTCACAGTTGAAAATCTAGTTTAAGCAAATGAGTGGAATAAGATCTATATCTGAGAAACGAAGATAATAAAATATTCCAAACAACCAGAATAAAATATGACATGCCTGAAAGTATCATTTGGAGCAAAAAATTAAGAAGGAATGCCTGAACAGATACTATTCCTCTCCTCTGTTTACTTAATTCAATGCTGCTGAAATTGTGTAGATTTGAAAAAATAGGGCAATGCCTTCCAGAGTTAATGTACAGATTCAGCCCAGAAAGGAAATGGGGTTCTATTTGCATCATGGAAACCAGTATTAGTAATTTTTCGTACTTGTTTATTGTAATGATGAGCAAAATGGAGGATAATGCTCAAAGATGATAGTTTCATATAAACTCTTCTCATATTACGCAATTTCAAGAAGTGATTTGAAGATAGATGCTTTTTCTTTGCTCCTTTAGTAACAAACTTGGAAATAGAAATTGAGTGGACAAAGGTCTCCACATGAAGACAGATGGATCTATGAAAAATAATGTTTAGGAACTCCCATGAGCCACACAATGTCTTCTGGATTTGTTAAGACTATATCTCACCATCTTTAGCTAATTGAGTAGCAGTAGGCATCAAGTATAGAAAACTTGGCTAATAGCTGGTGGCTGAAAAATGCATTTAACAAAATTGCATTGGGTTGAATTGCCCCTTGATATGAATTTCAGGTTGCTTAAATATTGAGAAGCAAGCCAGCTTTTGCACTCTGACCTATTCCACAATGTAGATCCTAAATGAAGGCTCTTACCTGTATCTGTTCAGATTTGACTCCCAGTTTTCACTGGGTAGCATTCTGGGAATCCCTTTCCTTATTTCATCTTCTGAACCAGAAGGAGGCTCTGGACAGCAAGAATCTACACAAGCACAGCTTAATGCAAGTGAATAGTCCAGCCTCCTTGCAAAGAGTTAAGAGTTACTGTGGTAACTCTAAGGATAACAGGAAGTGATCAAGGCACTGATGGCAATATCCCTCAAACTGCATATCATTCCTCCCAAAACAGTGGTCAGATCTAGCACATGGCCATTGTGTAGCTCAGGCCGGTTGTCTTATAAGTCAAGGTTGTGATGGCCATGAACTCCTGGCTGTATCTGAGTCTGCATCCAAGGAAAGCAAGTTGAAAACCCCCAAAGACCATAAACTGCAACACCAGCCCCCAGATATGGCATCAAACAGTACGGGCACAGAGGCTGCTATTAACAGCAAATCCAACTGATCCCTAAGGCTCAACAGACAAGATTACTCCAGCTACCTACAGGTATGCACTTCTGACAATCCAGTCTTCCCCCCCCCCCCCCCCCCAAAAAAAAAAAAAAAACCCCAGCAACATTCCTCTAGCTGTGGAGTCACTAAATCATTGGCCCATGTATGGACACATTTCAGAGAGCACCTTCCCTGTGCCCAGCCACATCTGTGTAATATACTAAATCAGTCCTAGATCTTAAATCTACGATAAGTGAGTTTTATAAGAGACTACTCTGGCATTCAAAAGTAACAACAACAAATAAACCAGTGGATGAACTTAGGAACATAGACCAGTGGAACAGCTTGCCTTCAGAAGTTGTGGGGGATGGAGGCTTTTAAAAAGAGACTTGCCTGAAATGGTAGAGCAATGGTGGCTAACCTTTTGGGGCTCCTGTGCCAAAAATTGTGCATGCGCTTGCACGCTCGCGCTCGTGTGCCAGCAACCGGAAGGAAATGCGCACCCCACACACACTGCGCATGCGCGTGCAATCCCCGCCTACCTCCACCCACCCCGCCGCCCTGTTAACTGCACTGTGCCTCCCAGCTGATTTTTGGCTGGTTTGAGGCCTTTATTGGCCCCCCAAAGGCTTGAGGAAGGCTTCTGCAGACTTTGCAGGCCAAAAACTACCCCTGTTTTGTCACTTCCTGTATTTTCAGAAAAATAGGAAGTGATGAAACGGGGCTAGTTTTCGGCCTGCAGAAGCCATCCTCAAACCTTTAGGAGGCTGAAAAAGGGCTCAAACTGGCTGAAAATCAGCTGGGAGGCACGCGCATGCACAGTGAGGTCAGTTTGCCTGCAGCTCGCGTGCCGGCACAAATGGCTCTGTGTGCCACCTGTGGCACGCGTGCCATAGGTTTGCCATTATGGCGGTAGGGGTCTCCCGCTTGAACAGGAGGTTGAAGTAGAAGACCCTGAAGGTCCCTTCCAACTCTTATTGCTATTCTGAATACATTCTGAACCGGGAACTGATAATGAGCACAGAGAGCTAGAACATAAGAACCCATACAAGATCACTGCTCTACTATGCTAGAGCCATGATGGTGAACCTATGACACGCGTGCCAGAAGTGGCATGCAGAGCCACTTTTGCTGGCACATGAGAGGTCGCTCGGAAGAATCCCACTCTGCAGGCATGTAGGCCACCCGCCCAACAACTGATTGTCAGGTATCTGGCGCACATGCACGAGGGGGTCCATGGGAGCTGCACGTGCATGCACAGAGACGCATGGCACATGGGGGGGTCACGTGTGCATGCTCAGGGGGCGTGGGGGGGCAGTGTGCATTGCATGGGAGCTGGAAAAGATTAGCCACCACTGTGCTAGAGGAATATAAACTGAACTTTACCAAATTTGGGGCATGGCTGTGTTTTGTATGTCCATTTAAAAACTCCATATAATTCGTGAAATTGGACTAAGTAGACTTTGGATTGTATTATATGATGCCCTTGCCTTTTTTTTCATTGACTGTTATCGGTTTTTATATTTTCTTGCCCAAGAGCAGTGGTTCCCAACCTTTTTTCGCCCTGCACCCCTAAAGAAATTTCACTTGAACCTCGCACCCCCTGAAATTTAGACTTTAGGAACTACTGAACGTGTTAAATATATGGTAGGATTGAATCTTTTCAGCTATGTATGTGTCGGCCACTAAATAACGATACTTAACTCTAAAATGAAAACAAAGTTATTCCATTGCATAATAAATAAAAATACCAACATATAGCCAATATCCTATTATTTACCTAGACTTTTCTCGCACCCCCTGGAATATCGTCTCACACCCCAGGTTGGGAACCCCTGCCCTAGAGCAAAGGTACAAGGAATAGCTGCTTTAATTATTTTATTGATTCCTAATCCAATCCCTGTTAAAAATCTCATTAAATAAATGCTTTCCTCTTTTTTTAGTGCATCATCTTCAAGGCAAAAAAAATTTTCAGTTGTCATTCTTTGGGGATGTATAGAAGAGTTATGGTAAGATCCTAAATATTGGGCACAAGCATTCTACTTATGAGCAATGGTTATTAGAACCTTCAAAATGGTTTTTAATTTGGCCACTGCAGCATTATGGAATAACTAACTCAGATTCTTTATAAAGTCTGTTGAGTCATTTTTTTTTTTTGCTTGTTTAAAGCTGTAGGCTTTGAACCAGTTCAAAGTACTTCCTGCATCCAGTATGTTTACTCTTAGATCTGTCAAGTTGGGATCTAAATCTTCTTTCCTACAATTATAAAACCCTAGAGGCCCTGCATTTTCATATATTTCAGAATGTAAAAAAATACTAAGCCAGAATTAAAGAGGGAAAAACCCTAAAATACATCAATATATAAATATTCATTTTTAGAACAAATGCCAATCATACCAACTTATCTCAGTCAGTATTTCTATTGTATTTGTATTCCAAAGGGCCATTTGGAAGGTTGAAAACAGCAATCCAGTGTTTTACATCTGGGCTGGTAGAGTCCCCCGTCCCCCCCCCCAACTGCACACTATCTAGTTTGCTGCATTCAGATATGTAAGTCGGATATATCCAAAATTCATTAACATATTCCAAATGTTTGGTACATAACTGAGCCTTTTCACATGTTTAATCTTTCATTCTCATCTCAAAATCTTATTAATAAAAATATAAATCTTAAACCAACACTGGACAACCAAAGACCAGCTCCAAATCAAATGGGTTAAAGTTTATTTAAATGCATTATATCTCCAATATTTTTATTAAATGACAGGCAGCTTTTTGGGGGAGAACATTTGCTAATAAACATGAAGGGTTTTTTTGATGAATTAATATTTCAATATTGGAAGACACAAATCCAGCCTTCTTAA